AGAGAGAGAGAGAGAGAGAGAGAGAGAGAGAGAGAGAGAGAGAGAGAGAGAGAGAGAGAGAGAGAGAGAGAGGGAACTGCTAGCAGACTACGTAGTTGGCTCCATTTGCCTGGCTTTCCCCAACTTTACCAAGGTGGACATTTTCCTTGCCTTTCTGAAGATTGGACAGTGGCGGTTCTGCATTCTTTTCACCGCCGCAAACTTGGGATGGGGTAGTCCTCGCTCCTCCATCTGCCTCAGTGTCATAACCTTCAGATGCAATTTGTATGCACGTTGCGCAGGCAACAACAAGCAGACTGACGTCATTCAATCTCTCTACAATACGTATGCCTCAAGATCTTCCATTTAATTTCTTTGAAGCTCATTATCCTTTTCTGGGTTTTCCCCCTTTTTTTTTTTTTTTGTCAAAGCTCATTATCTGTAGTTCCATCGATCCCAAGATTGTAATATCTTCACCTGACCCCTCTGTCTCCTGTCCCACAAGCCCCCGCAAACTCCATTTTGGTTTCCTCCCCTAATAATAGTCCTGGATTGAAGTTATTTTGTAAGGGTCAGTTATAATCATACCTCCCTTGTGCTATTTGTTTTGTTGCCATGCCTCTGTCAGAATACTCTCACCCAGCAATAGACGGGAGCAACCACGAAGCTCGCTAGGGGGGGGTGCTCTTATTACCTCCCCTAGCTCTTTTTTTTTTCCAAACAAACAAACAAACATAAAAAAGAATACACTCGCCAACTGGGTGTAGCTCAGTCGGTAAGGCGTTGAAGCAGCACTCAGGAGGTCGTGGGTTCAACTCCCATTGCCCCCATGATAGTGCCTGTGGCATGCTTGGCGGCTTACCTTCGAGACAGCCAGTTGGTAAGCAAGGGCGCGGTAGGCTGGTAGCTCAGTGAGCAGAGTTCCGGTGTTGCAACGGGGAGTTTGCAGGTTCGACCTTGTCGGCCCACAATTTCCCCCGAGCACATTTGGTTGGTGTAGGTTGCGCCCCACGTACTTGTCCTGAGCCTGGCATAGCGCCTTTACAGACTAATGACCTCAATAGCTCAGTGGGTAGAGCTCTGATATTGTAACTTGGAGGTCCCGGATTCAACTCCATACTATGCTCATTCATCATGTATATGTATACTGTTCGTCATATCAGCTAGGGATTATCCTCTGGACAGATTTGGGTGGGGACGTGTGCCTTTCCTGCGGTAGAGTTGATGTGGGATGGATGCTACTCTCTCTCTGTGGCCAGAGTGTGGCAAGGGGTTGTTTTGTTTGGGTGCATGGTGATACCATGGCAGTCCTATGGTGGGCAAGGGTGCCTTGTAGGGAAACCAATGCCGAATCAAGAGGTGTGTCCTACTCTCGATGGCTGTAGACCCATTCTTGGGAGGTGGGTTATCAGCGGTTGGTCAGGGGTAGTTGATGAGGGTCGAGGTCTCCACCATTACCACGGGTCGATTCTCCCTAGCGAACAGACGTAAGCAAGGCTCATTAGTAGCAGAAAGCAACCACATACAGCCATACAGACTATGATATCACACTAGCTCACATACCAACAACCAGCATTTTCAACAACCAACAGTAGCCATATATGAACCGCACTGTGCTGGGTTGGTGCTTAGAGGTAGGGGGGCTCATGGGTTAGACCTTGGTTAGCCGACCATTAGACACTGCCTATGGGTGCCCTCACCGCTCACAGGACTAGTTGAGAACTTCGCGCCTATAGCTCCCGAGGTACCCGTATAATGAGGCTTGTACGCTGTTATGTGCCTCAACTGGGGCTGACTGGGGGAGCTCATTCAGCATCAGTGCCCGCGTCCGCTGTCTAGTCAGGTTGCTCCAGTAGAGAGAGATGTTCCTCGCATGAGGTAAGATAGAAAAGGAGTGGGGGTGCGCCAGGAGATATATCAAGAGAGGTGGTAGGATGGGAGTCTCGTGAGTATGAAAAAAAAAAAAAAAAAAAAAAGAACACACTCACCCACCTGGTAGTGCGAGGCTGTCTTTTCTTTGGGAAAAAAAAACACTCGATGGCTAGGAAGATTGTCACGCCCGGCCGGTCCTTGGTGTTCATTGTGTTAGTGTTTTTGAGATGATTGCCGAAGTGTTGGGTTGTTGTTTGTTGGATTGCGTTCGTGGTTTTGGGATGATCGGCGAAGTGTTAGCTTGTTGTTAGTTGAAGGTGCTAATTAGAGGTATACATAGTGCAGAGTGTGTATTTTCTGAATGGCTGTCGGTTTTGCCCATGGGTTGATTCATCAAGCGTGTAGTTTTTGGGATAGTTGGGGTTGCTGATTGGAGGTGCTTAGGGTATAGAATAGCAACTTTGTGAATTAATTGGGGATTTTGTCCGTGGGTAAGTCGATGAGAGACCATTGACTATATCTGGGGGTAAGTCAATGATACCATTGGGGATATTGTGTGTGTTTCTGGTTGGTAGCGGGTAAGTAGGATGAAAACCATTGAGTATCTTGTTTACGCATTTCTGGTTGGTAGTTTGTGTTTGTTATTTATTTAGCTCAGATTTCGCTAGATTAGGGTTAGGGTTGTTTGATAATGGTGGTTTGGAGAACGGATAGATTAGGATTTGACGTTTGTTAAATTAGGGGATGCAAATTTTGTTTTAGGGTTGGGATTGGGATCGGGATCATCGGTTTCATAACCTTGTGGGGCTTTGGTCGGGATAGGTTTGGCCGGGAGTGCCTTGGTTTTAGCCCGTTTGACTACAGCAAATGATGTAAGGGACCCCAGGCCCGCTTCCCAGCTATATGAAAAAGAAAAGAAAAAAGTCATTCCCAAAAAAAAAAAAAAAAAAAAAAAAAAAGTCGTTTGTAACTTTGTATTGCAATTCTAGTATTATTCTACACAACATATATTTTTTTTTCCGGAATTTTTTTAGATTTCTTTTTTTTTTTTGAGCTGCGGCTGCCCGGAACCCTGCCCGCGGGTCATGCCCGGGCATGGCGCCCAGAAAAACAGCCTCGCTCAATGGCTGCTTATTCCACCACACAGATCATGGACCTTGGGGCATGAGTCACAAGGGAAGGAAGAGCCAGCAGTAAAAGCCATGGCCTTTCCCCGGAGGCCCGAGACACCTACCGGGGGGGGCTGCAGGGGTGGGGCAAGGCTCCACTCCCCGCGCCCGAACCTCGGGCTCATAGTGGCCGAGGGGTGTAGACTTTCGTCCCACTCCTGCAGTCTACCGGCCATTTCCAACTTCATATCCATCCCCCACATTCTTCCCGTTCGTAGATACCCATCAACCACTACTGTCATACTCATCACGTACTCTTTCTTACGACTCACTCCCTTGTTCCCCGCCATGTCCTTTCACAGCTACTTCTGCTCAACTCAATAACCCTGTTCGGAAACCCCATCCATCTGATATTCCCCTTGCGCCTGTCTTCTTTACCCGCTCCCCTTTTCCCGCCCCCATTCAATGCTGCTCCCTGTTCCAAGAGGTACGCCCTACCCTCGCCCCCTATTCCTACCCCTCCATTTAACTATCTACACCCAGCCTACCCTACGGCTTTGAAATCTTTTCCTTCCCACTTCTCCCCTCTCCCAGCCTCAGTCAGTTGCCTCCAGCTCCTCATATTGCTGCAATAGATACCCGAACTCAAAGCGCCCTGTCTCAATGTTCCTACTAGCGTCTTCACCCGAATAGAACGCCCGGTCATTATAGTTGTATTTGGCACAACTTTCGGTCCAGATGCAGCGATAATGACCGGACGTTCTATTCAGGTGAAGACGGTAGCCAGCTCTGGGTAGCACTCCCAAATTCTCCAAAATTTTGTCTCTCCTCCTCCCAAGTTTCTTCAGGACCTCAGGCATCTCTCAAAAAACCCCTTTCGTGATATCCTCCCATTTCATTCTGTATATGGGACGCCGGGCCTGTTTTCCAGCCGGTGATGCTCCCCAGCAATAGATGGAGCTCCCCCTAGGTCCTAGCGGTATCTGCTCTTACCAGCACCACTAGACTGGAGGGGATTGATTTGTTTAAGGAAAAACAAAGAAAAAAGAAAAGGTTTCTTCAGGACCTCTGTAGGCCCTCCATAATAGCTGTATGCAGGCTCCCCAGCGCCCTGTTTCTCGGCACCTGCACGGTGAACAACCCGTTCTGAAACTTTCGCTCGTTCCTCAATGTCCCAAATTGAATAGTCCATAGAAGGGCTGCTCTTATCACGTCCATCACGTACATCTTTCCCTTGTCGTCCCCGTTGACCCAACAAGATGTACGCTGAGTCATCTTCCGTGACTGCTAGCGGGGATGCCTCTGCCGCTGCTGCAGCCCACCACCGCCAGAAGCTCTTTACGACCCCGCAATGCACAAAAAGGTGCGAGACCGACTCCAATTCCCCGCACCCTTCCGTGATGCAGCTTGCATCCTGGTACTGGCTCCTTGCCGCTAACCATTGGGAGGTAGGGACCGCCACGTGGTATATCTGCGACAACAAACCGGCCTGCTTCTGATCCGGCTTCATTCTCAGGATAGCACATTGCTCCCTCCACCTTTTTTGGGTCCAGCTCTCGGCATATGTAGCGGGGAGCCAGTCTCTCTTTGTCGATCGTTCTCGCAGTTCTTCCCCGGTACATCTACCACGGGCAGCGGTGAATTATATATAATCTTCGTGCTTACCAGATGGATACCGGGCGGACCACATTGACAGCTCTCACAACGCCACTTGGCACCCTCAGGGCATCTTAATTATTGCTTCACTCGCATAAGACTTTTTTTCTTTTTTTTAAACCACCAGTATCTTTCCCCGCTTGAA